TTAAGAATTTAACATGTTTTTTTTTTTTATTTTTTTTTTTTTATCTTTGACTAACTTGCTCTCAGGGATGTTTTTCAAAGGAAATACAAAACATTTTTACCCAACTTTTAAATAATATCTAAGGATGGGTAAAGAAAAGCCTCCACATTATCCCTGAATGCTCAAATACGCAGTCTGTCATGTAGTTTTGGGATTCGTCTAAAACTTTTAAAAATGCCGTGTTGTATTCTAGCATTGGCTTGTCTGCTCTCCTGGTGCCGACCTTTGGCACAGCCTCATTCCTAAAGCTATTCTTGGCTTTCATTCCTTATAATATCCTTCATTCTTCATAACTGATGGTGGCAAATATTCTCCTCCTCATGGAAAGAAACTTGCCCCAAAATCAGCTGTATTTAAAGCAGACGGTTATACAATCTAATTTAGACCAAAAGAAAAAGATGCAACTCTTTCTATCAATGAGTATTTCTTATATATGATCAAATATGTCTTTATTTATCTTTTAGTTTTGCTCATAGTTTAGTATGTTTTGATGATTTTTACAATGTGTTAGGGGATTCAGGTGTTTGAGGGGAGTGGCAGCTTAGTGGTTGAGCTTGGAATCCTGAGGTTGTGAGTTTGAAACCCACTTCCACAGACTTCCACTATGAGCAAGATCCATAAGCCCTGATTGCTCCCCAGGCGTCCCACGATAGCGGCCCACTGCATCCCTAAGGGAATGGGTTAAATGCAGAGGTAAATTTCTCCAATATGAGATCAATAAAGTTTATTACTATGTTTAGAACTGCTCTACTTTAATTTGTCCCTATAAATGTCTGCCTTGTAAAATAGAGTTGCAGTATAAAAACGACATCATACGGGAGTAAGAGCAAGTTTTGTTAATAGAGTTCCACCTCAATATCCTAACATAATTTATATGGTATAACAACATATTACTGATATATTATTATTACTGACGATGACTACCACAAAGATTCATATAAGCTTCAATGAGCTTTTTACTGGTTAAGTGTTTCAATACATGAATATAATGATATTCTACTGCTAGGCAAGATATTAAAAAATAACACAGTTAATGATTTAATTGGAATTGAAAATCTGAATAAAAAATAAAGAGAAAGTGGATGAAAACTGAAATTTCTGAGGAACAAGAAACACACATTTCTAAGAAAATAGAGGAAAACATTCACTATCTTTAGTATTTTTGTATAAACGAATCATGTTTGATGTAAGAAATATAGTTATAATTTTTTAACAATAAATATCTACAAGCAGGAGGTTATTTTGGTTTGATCAGAGACCATTATATGCTTTAATTTGAACGGGGTCAAATGGAGTCAGAACCCAAATAATTTGAAACAGGATGTGGTATAAAGTCTTAGAACATCAGCATAGAGTTTATTAATTTACACCTGAGATGTACAGATTTTTATGATGATTTTTACAGCATACAGAAGCATTTATGGACAAAGAAAAAAAAGTAATACAATAGTTTAGTACATGGGTATAAAATGGGTTGGTTTACTGATAGGTGTCAGTTGAGGTGGTTACAAAATGGAGGGTTTTATGTTTTTGTTTTCATTATTCAAACACAGGCTGTTTTCATTTGGTTTATTTTTCCATATGTCATTTTTCGCAGAGCTAATGGTAGGCCACATGGATTTTTTTATAACAAGAAAACACGAATATACACTAGTGGATATTAACCCAAAAAATATTATTGGACCTTTTTTCTATAATTTGTAAAACTGTATCAAAAAAAGAACAGAATTTTTTATCTGGATTTATTTCAGAAGTGAAGCATCCTCTGTCTTTTATTTGCCCTGATAAAAGATTTTTCAAAGTTAAAAACAACTACAGCATTCAGAGAAGTTTTATTTCAACTAAAAAAAAATTTAAAAAAATTAGCTTAAGCTGAAAAGAATGAGACTGCTTATATAAAAAATACTAAAAATAATAACAACCTTGTTTATAAAACTGGTAAAGATAAAAAATTTTTACTTTGCTTCATTTGCAGATATTTTTTTACATGTTTTTTTTTCATGCCAGTGTTATTCTAAAACACCTTCTGAAACATATCAACATTATCCTATTAAATTATCTCCTCTGACTAACCTAGCTTTAATTTTTAGGCCAATGCTTCGTTTTCCATAAAAGAGAGTTTAGACTTAATGCACGGCTGTATAAAGCTGTTTAATAAAATTTTATTTGCCTGTATTTAAGGCAGACTTTGCGTCAGCACATCTGGACAACTGATGCACATCTAACCAGCGGAGAACCTGGAACCACAAGCCACCTGAATGCAGTTTGTGATCCAAATCATGCAGAAATGCAAACCTACGCAGAGACCTTTTCTCTTTCATGTCCTCTGCAGGACCAAACTGGACAATTTTCTTTGAAACACGTGCAAAGATAGACTTCTCTTGAAGTGCATCGGTTTCCAATTAAGCCAGCTCCAGATGATTATTTTCAAAAAGTGACAGCAGCCTGATCCTGAGCAAAGCTTTCCTTTCATGCTACATCATCAGCTGCTCCTGTTGTGATAAAAGCAATGAAATCCAGATGTGTTTGGCACATATCTCTGATCCACAGCTGGGATCATAACTCATATGTCTTCGAATGATAACAGGAAATCTCAAAAGTTTATTTCCTGCTATGGGACGTGTTGTTTTCATGGCTGACCACTTCCTTCGCTCACGAGCTCCAACTAAGCATTTTTATTTAAGTGAGAAAAGCTTACACCAGGCAAAACGATGAATGAAAACAGATGCTGGAAAAAAAACCTTTAGATTTTTTGAGTCTGTTGGAGGCCTAATGCCTCTCTTGGTGGGGCTCCTCCTTTCACTCAGCATGGATTAAGCTTGTTTACTCGTCACGATGAAGTCAGACAGGGAATGTCTGAGGTTGAGAAATGTTGATAAACCACAAAACTTCTCTGCCACATCAGCTTTTTAAATCTAAATTAAGATTGTTGTTCCTTTAAACACAGAAACAACATCATCACTTCCCTTCAATTGAACATTTGTTTCTTCTATCGTTCCATCCCAAACAGGGATGCATCAAACTGATTATAGGTTTCATGCAGTGATGTAATCCTAAAGCCGTAATTAAAGCTTTTCTTCTTTCTGCATCAACACTGAGTGCAGCATCTGCAGACAGTCAGCACCAGCTTCATCTGATAAGTGCTGGAAAGGCTGCTTCTAGCATATTCATCCAGCTGAGGAGATGTGTTGCTGCAGGGATGGTTTCTGGTTCTGTCCTGCAGCCCTGAAGGAGGTTGTTTTTCTGGCTGTTTACAGACACTCATAAGTGTGTTCGCCTCAGGCCTCTTGTAAACCGGCTGACTTATCCACCTTGTCTGGCTTGACTCACATGCCAGCCACTTGCGGTCAGTGACTAAGGTCTTCTTTGGCTCGATCCTGCTTCCCGTGTCCAGCCAGAACTGACAATGTCTATCTACTAGTAAATGTCACCATTTGTGATTTTTTTTTTCTAGAAAGTTGAAAAGTGTTATATATTTTTTTCTTTTACTGTTTTTTGCATGTTTTTGGAGATAGTTCACATCTACCCCTCCATACTGTCACACCAAACCATGACTGAAGGCAATTCAGTTTAAATGTTTCCAAGCAGTCTTGAAATCCATCCCTCCATCCATCCAATCATTCCATCCATCCATCCATCCTTCCATCCATCCATCATTCTCTCATTCCATCCATCCATCCATCCATCCAATCATTCCATCCATCCATCCATCCATCCATTCATCCATCCAATCATTCCATCCATCTATCCCTCAATCGATCCATCCATCCACCCTATCATTCCATCCATCCATCCATCCATCCATCATCCTCTCATTCCATCCATCCATCCATCCATCCATCATCCTCTCATTCCATCCATCCATCCATCCATCCATCCAATCATTCCATCCATCCATCCATCAATCGATCCATCCATCATCCTCTCATTCCATCCATCCATCCATCCATCCATCCATCCATCCAATCATTCCATCCATCCAATCATTCCATCCATCCAATCATTCCATCCATCCATCCATCCTATCATTCCCTCCATCCATCCTATCATTCCCTCCATCCATCCATCCATCCATCCATCCATCCCGTCCATCCAATCATTCCATCCATCCTATCATTCCATCCATCCATCCAAAATTCCATCCATCCTATAATTCCATCCATCCATCCATCCATCCATCCAATCATTCCCTCCATCCATCCGATCATTCCCTCCATCCATCCCATCCATCCTATCATTCCATCCATCCATCCATCCATCCATCCATCCTATCATTCCCTCCATCCTATCATTCCATCCATCCATCCATCCATTTATCCATCCATCCATCCATCCATCCATCCATCCATCCTATCATTCCCTCCATCCTATCATTCCATCCATCCATCCATTTATCCATCCATCCATCCATCCATCCATCCATCTATCCTATCATTCCATCCCATCCATCCATCCATCCAATCATTTCATCAATCCATCCAATCATTTCATCCATCCATCCATCCATCCATCCATCCATCCATCCATCCATCCATCCATCCATCCATCCATCCATCCATCCATCCATCCATCCATCCATCCCATATTTAGAGTTATAAACTTGTCAGATTGAACTTTTGTTTTTGCACTTAGCCAAATTAGCCTAAAAGGAACCTGTGGAGGTCTGTTTGAGTCCTGAAAGTAAACAAATTTGAAAGGACAAACACAAATAGCCCAGGGCTTCCTTTTATTATGACAGTGTCACGTTCACTCAGCAGAGCAGCCTTCAAGCCTTCAGTTTATTTGGTCTAAAGAGGCAGATGAAACCCAATACCCTCCTTTTTTCCCCCCCAGAACAAAGCAGCTCAGCAGATACTTCCTGACTGACATCAAAACCACAACACCCAGCACACAGTGTAAAGATCCAAGAGTAAAACAGTTCTTGTAAATATATTGAGTTGTTTCTTTGTTGCGTGGCTTACCTCAGCTTTTAGTACATTTGCGTTGACAGAGTGGAGGCAGAGTATGAAGCAGGCCAAGCTGAGCAGCTGCGGCACCATTCTGGACACTGGAAAATACCTCCCACAAAAAATCAGCAAACTCTCTTCAACAAAGTCTCCCAAAAATACAACGACGACTGTTTAAAACATGGTGAAATTGACCGATGCTGCTTCAAAACGTGGCAGGAAATTTTCTCGTATCCGTATGGAAACTTTTCGCGCACAGTTTTCCCTGCGCAAAAGCCAATGGAGTCAAAAACTGGAGGAAAAAAACAAACAGACCAAGAAGCGCTAAAGCATTAAGATAGACACTGGAACTGCTGTGTAGTTCAATGCAAAAAATGAACTAAAAGCTTCACAGTTTTGCTTCCGTTCTTTTCTCCAAGGCTGCCAGCAGCTTGTGGACGACGAGTGAAGGAGGCAGATGGATTTTCCCTGAAGGTCCTCCTCCAGATGTGCGCATGTCATTTGGACACTTTACTTATTGAATATCGGGTTTACTTCACATCACCCAGCATCAACACACGCTGACATACTTTCCCTGTATTAGAGCAGATTTTATTCATTATAATCTCCAAACTGATATTTATATTTTGATCAGGGGTGTTCAGCTCTTGCTGTAATTTTAGACTTTTAATTTTATTCCCCTTTTTAAATTTTTCTCCTTAGATTTACCTCAGCCCATCATTCTATCAACTCTGATCAGCTGTCATGTTCCTTTAGAATAAAACAATCCCCACAGTATGATGCTGGCACCACCATGCTTCACACTAGGGAGGATTAATCTGGAGAAATGTGCCCTGATGCTTTTTTTTTTTTTTTTTTTTAAAGCTTATATGAGCAAGACACCTTCTTCCTCATGTTCCGTGTGCCCCCTACCGAATTAGTTTATTTAGTTTATTTAGCAAAAAAGAATACATTGAATACACATTTAAAAGATAAATTCAGTGCAGGAAGAGGCAAAAAGCCAGTGTGTCTTCTCTGAAGCCTTTGGCAAAAAAAAAATAATAATAATAATTGTAAATGGAAAAAAAGGAAAACAAACATACATGTAGATGCAATTATATTTTATATAGCATAAAAAAGAAGATTTGTAATCTTAAATGGAAAATGTTTATATTTTACTTACGCTATGTTTTAAGCGTAAGTTTAGGTTTTTAATAGTAGGCTTTTTAAAGTGTTGATACTCTGAAAAGCATCAATACTCAAACACTGTAATCAGAAACAATGCTAATTTGGCGGGGTATAAATACCAAATACAATTGTTGTTTGCATATTTTTTGCTTTTTTTAACTTTAAATTTCTAGATTATTTGCACATTAAAAGAATAATACCTCAAACAACCTAATAATCTTCTCATATTGTGTTATATTTTTACACTTATTAATTAAATAGAATCTGTGATTCTGTTAAGAAATAGTGCTCCATGCTAAGATTGGATAAGGTGAGTTTTCAATGGTATTAAAAATATTTTGATGCCTTTAATTGTTTGCTATTTGTTATTCCCCTTTTATCTAAAATAGTAATGTATAGTTTTACGTATTAGTATGGTGCAACCCTTGTGCCTGGAGTCTTTCTCTCTAGGATTTCATTCAATTATCAAATTAGTTGACAATTATTTCAACAGTCAATTTTTCACATTTAATTTGATTGATTATACCAGCCCTAAAGGGAAGCATGAGTGGTATCAAAATAGGAGAAAACTGGTTGAGTTTTGATTTTCTTTAAAGTTTAGTTTTTTTGTACTTGTACTCCTCATCTCCCATTTCATCCAGGATGTGGCTAATGGGGCATGAGCCTCAGCAGCCTCAGCAGAGACTCCCAGACTTCCCTCTCTGTTGACACCTCCTATAGCCCAAGGTGCTCCCAGACCAGCCGAGAGACATAGTCCCTCCATTGTCTCCTGGATCGTTCTCTAGGCCTCTTCCCGACGGGACGTGCCTGCAACACCTTCCCAGGGAGGAGTCTTAGGGACATCTGAAAAAGATGTTTGAGCCATCTTAGCTGACTCCTCTTGATGTGGAGAAGCGGCTCTACTCCGACCCTCTCCCGAATTACTGAGCTCCTCACAATATCTCCAAGGGAGTGCCTAGCAACCCTGCAGAGAAAGCTAATTTCAGCCGCTTGTGTCCGGGATCTTGTTCTTTTGGTCATATTCCAGATTTGACGACCATTGATTACCATCTTCAACAAAACAGTCTTCCTCATTATATTAGCCTCACCGATCCCAGAAAGACCCCATTTAAGGCAGGGACTCTCCTCCAACCTGAAGGGGACAAACCACCTTTTTCACAGTTAGAATCATGGCCCGTACTTGGAGGAACTTATTCTCGTCCTGGTCGTTTCACACTTGGTTGTGAACCACCCCAGTGCATACTGTAGGTCTTGGCAGGAGGGAGACAGCAGAACCAAGTAATCTGCAAAAAGCATGGATGAATTCCATTCTGGCCCCCAAACCAGATCCCCTCTGGCCCTTGACTACAACTAGAAATCCTGTCCATAAAGGTTATGAACAGGATTGGTGACTGAGGCCAGCACTGTTGGAGTCCAACATGGACCAGGAGCAGAACCAAGCTTCTGCTCTGCTTCTACAGAAACCGGATGGGACTTAAAAAGGCCCCTGACTCCATACTCCCCAACAGGACATCATGAGGGAGACGGTTGAATACCTTCTCCGTGTCAACACAAACATATATGTTGACAATCACCCATGGACCCTCAAGTACTCTGTAGAAACTGTAGAGCTGGTCCACCTTATGGCCACAGCTCCAGGTGGCCGCATCGACAATGGAGGCAGTGGACATTGCCCAATAAGACTCCATGACTCCAGCCTCCACAGTATCTGGGAATAGCTCTTCCAGAGATGGCAGTTGAGCATGTCCCTGATTGAGGGCTCCACCAAAAGTTCCCGGCAGACCCTCACTATGTCTTTGGGCCTGCCAAGTCTGACCGGCTTTCTCCTCCTCCAGTGCATTCAGCTCCCCACCAGGTGAGACAAGACAATGTGAGAAGATACAACAACAAAGTTGATCGGTGAACTTTACAGGAGGGTGTCCTAGTGCCAATTGCACCAGTGGACATCCTCATGCTTGAACATGGCGCTCATGATGGACATCTGTGACTTGCACAAATGTCCAATAATGACACAGCATTCGGGTTCAGAGCTGGGGGGGTTGTTCATCCCGATCACACTCCTCCAGGATTCACTGTTGTTATCCACATAGCCAGCAGAATGATGGACTCATCAGGAGGGGCACTATCCAACAGCCCCCCCCAGGAATACTATTAATACCTGAGACTGATGTAGCAGGCCCTTAGGCTGAGACAGAGACCTGCCCCCTACCCGAAGGCAAAGGGACGTAACCCTCTCGTCCACCGGGCTAAACTCCATTACAGGATGGCTGAGCTGGGGGAGACAAGTAGACCCACCCCTGACCTCCACCTCTCCCCGTGGTCCACGCTATAGCAGAAGGTAGTCCAGCCTCTCTAAAACAGCTGGGTTCCAGAGCCCATGCTATGTGTGTTTCCCATGTAACTCTTTCTAGCTGCTGTCGCTCCACCTCCCACTCAAGCTCAGAGTCCCCTCCAGAGAGGTGACATTCCACGTCCCCAGAGCCAGATTAAGCATCCACGGAACAGGTCATCAAGCCTCCACCTTTGGCTGCTGCACACTCCTCTCTACACTGGACCTTAATGGTTCCCCGGCCGGGACCTGCAAGCAAGAACCTGACCACCAGGCATTTGCCGGGCTAAACCCCAGCCACGTGCCTTGATTTCTTTGTCATCATGGAGGCTTTTGAACAGCTCTTTGTCTAACCCCTCCCTCAAAGACTGTTTGCCTTGGGATACCCTACCAGGGGCATTAAAGCCCCTAACAACATAGCCTCTTGAATCATTAAAAGCTGAAACCACTACACCACACTGAGGTGGCGTTTTAAGGAAGGTTTTTGTTGTTGTTGTTACTTTTAAAAAGTAAATAAAACCTTCATTCTAACTTTTTCTCCTCTGATTTGACCACAAAATGAGATAAAAAGCATATATCATTTGCATTTTAAAGTAAAAATCATATATCACCTTCTTTTTTATAACTGTTTAGTGCTGCTTCCTGATAAGAAAGTATAACTAAAAAATATCAACAACCTAATTCCCAAGCATTATTAAACTCTACCCAGAACCACTCTAAATATCGATAGTTTGTTGTTTATTAGCTTATTTGACCTTTATTTTTATTTACCTGATCATACTGTAGTTAATGATATTGATGTTTTTGAATTTGTGTAACAGGACAGCAGTCAATTTTTTACTACTAACGCAGAGAAAAAGGTCTTTAGAAATAAAAAAATATTATATAGTATATAAATGAATATATAGTATTTTGTTTGATTTCTGTAGTTATAGGAAAACTAAGATAATGCTTTTATTTTCTCGTTTTACAGTACCAATAATTTCTATGAATGAAAAGTTCAGCAACTTTTTTCCAGCTAACAGTGACATCTAGTGGTAAAAGTAGAACATTTCAACTTTCTCAGCCTCTTTAACCAGTCTGCTGTTGAAAATAGTAGAGTTTTTGGAAAAGGAAAAAAAAATAGTTAATACAAATCTGAATGAATACACCGCGTGTATGTTTTTAAGAACTGAAAATGGAGACACTACTGGCCGTTTCTCAATTCACGAGAACGCGAGTACGGACACGCGTTCTCGTGAGAACCGGCCAGTGTGAAAAGAACGTGCGTCACAAGCCCCGCCCACCCCGTCACGAGCCGCCTAACAGGAAGTAGCTCTCGAACTTGACAACAAGAAAGGCCGACAGCTCGGTAAGGTACTCTTTCCCTGCTATTTTGTTTGTATTTTAACATCGTCACTACCGATTCCGACCTACATGTTGTAATTTAATTGGGTATTTAAAAGTTACGTGTCCAATTTTCGATATCCGTCTCTCTGTTTGGTGTGATATTACTTCGGTTAATCGAGCTGTAAAGATAAAAAAAATACTGAGGCTGCTAGAAGCTAGCTTGCTAATCCTTCAAACCGAAACTGTTGTTTTAATCTCGCCTCATGGGACAAAGTCTTGTTAAATAACAAATACATGTCAGTAGGAAATAAACTGTGAGCAGACAGAAGTTAACTCTACTGTATAAATAGACGTAGAGGTTGTTAGGTTTATTTTCAGAAATGGTAGTCCTGTTTTATACCGATGTTGTCATGAAGATCATAGGAAGGAAATCGCTGTGTCTGGCTTGCTAACGAGATAAAAATAACCACACCTTCCCGTGGGCCAGGAAAACTATTGTGTTTTGGTGTTTATACCATAAACACCGTTAACAGAAAGTCGGACAGATATTGAATTATTAATCTGAATGAAAATGGGTTTTACTAGGAAAGAAGCATTGTTTACAAAACTGTATTTCTCCCAAAATAAACCAAAATTGTGATTAACACCATGTAATCACTGGCTTTCTACTTTTATTAGACTTTCAGCTTCCAGTTATACTATTGATACATTTTTGTTTGTTTTCAATAAAACAGACAATACATGTCCAGCTAATTTATTGAATAAAAAAGAGAAAATGTTGTTGTCCTTAGAATAATCAAAGAAGTGGAAAATATTTTCATTCAAATATAAAATCCTATCGCCCTTTATTTATTTGTCCCTTAGGTTCAGCAGCCGTATTAAAAAAAAGATCTTTATCGACATTTATACAAGCCTTCTTTTTTTATGTAGTTGACAGTTGAGTGAATGAGTATGGAAGAGGGTTAGGGCCACTGAAAAAAAAAAAAAAAAAGATTTTAAAATTTCATTTCAGTATAATATGGGAGAAAAGGTCAGAATTCTGACTTTAATCTCAGAATTATGACTTTAATCTGAGAATTGTGGATGTTAATGTAGATGGGCACCACGAAGGAGGAGATGGGAGCACTCGGCTTCACTGACAAAGGTGTGAGTTGTTCGGGAGGGCCAGACATGGCTGCCGCTTGATGCTAACATGTTTGTTAGCTTTCAGAAATCTGAGATTAAAGTCAGAATTCAGAGAAAAAAATCTGAATTCTGAGATTAAAGTCAGAATTCTGACTTTTTTCCTCATATTAAACTGAAATATTTAAAAATCGGTTAACTTTTTTTTTTCTTCAGTGGCCCTAATCCTCTTCTATAATGAGTGATTGTCTATGATTGTGTTTCTTTTCTGCATGTAGCAATCTTTTCATATATTATTTTGTTTGCTCTACTGTATCTGACCTTTCTTGTTGTATATTTGTGAGGACAGCCTTGCAAATGAGACGCTTCATCCCAGTGGGCTTATTCTCTACAGAAATAAATAAATAAATAGAAAAAAAACAAGTAGTAACGACTTTGAATTGCATTATTCTTTAATTATTCTGAAGCATGTTGCATTGTTATTTAGTATTGTGAGTGGGTTGTCTAGATGAATGTATTGCCATTATTCACCACCTGTCATCTGTAATGCACCATAATGCTAAAACAAATGCTGCGTTTTGTTTATGGCAACTTTTTTAAAATGAATTATTAATTATTATTAATAACTGCTTTAATAAATATAACTATTTTTAAAGGTTACTTTAGTTCATTCTTTCAATTCGTAATGAAACAGCTACTTTCTTAACTTGATCGTTAGTTTGAACTTATATTAGGATAATTACCTAAAATGTTCATTACATTTAAAAAAAAGTTTGGAGTATAATATGTCAGTCGCCATTAACTGCCTTTTCCTAATAGTGACCTTTATTTATACCAACCCATTAAACCAACCATTTAAGAAGGGAGAGACCAGAGTCATGCATTATGCGACTTTGTGATGTTGAAATGGAATATTGAGGAAATGGTGGGTTAATCACAGTCGATATCCTAATGATAATAATTAACAATAAAACTGCAATATTACACATTTGTTATCTCACAGCCCTATTAGTATTTTATAAATGGCCATGTCATGTTAAATCAAATACCTTAATGCATCTTTTTCTCAGCATAATGCTAAACTGAAATGGATTTTTTTTTTTGTTTTTCTATCGTTATTACCTTGGAGATACCTGTATTTTTTGACACCTTGGAGTCCTTATATGATACATCAGTTTTTTCATTATTATAATTCCTTTTACAAGCTCCTGGATGATAAATTGATCTTTTAGAGCTTGGAAAAATAGCAGCCTTCCTTGTTTTCCCTACATTTGGTACATTGCTGTAGCATAGCCTAATGCTCAGTCCAGTATTATCTGAAAACACCTTATTATATCATGCTCTCGAGGTGTCCTCTGTTTGCTGTTACTATTTTGGAACATTTGTAAAGAGGTGTTGGATATATAAAGAAGGTAAATCATAAAGGATCAGAACAGCTTAATAACAATTTTAAAACATGTTCTGACCAATGTTATTCTATGCTTTTGCAAAGATGCATTCATTTTATTTTCACAACCTTTTCCTTTAGCTTTGTTAACTCCATTTTATGTAGGATGAGCTAAATTAACCTGAGTGTTGTCACTTACCATTTTGATTTAAATAGCTTTTGATGTTTTCTAAAGATGGAAGTTCAATAATGATATTACATTTCATTTGTGCTTAACAGAAGATGGCAAAATTGCACAATCTTATATTCTAAATAAGTAATTTTTGTATTAAGGATTACATTTTCTTTAGGGGAAAGTAAAAGATGGATCTTAGTGTAGTAATCTGGATATTTGTAACCCTTTCACTTTGTTTTATCAGGTTAAATAGGCCTCTGATTCATTTTTTCTTTTTCTTCCACTTTTCAGGTGAAGTCTTCCTGAACACACCCCCTCTTAAAATGGCACTTCTCTGACATTGTTTTTACATTTGCTTTTAAACCTTCCAAGTCTTCATAGTTTTAACCCATTTTAAAGCCTTTCAAAGAGCAGAGGTGCAGCAATGACAGCCAGTAACACGTTATGTGCGCTCCTGATCGTCTCCATAACAGGTGGGTGACATTAGCGAAGTTGGCTTCTGTTCGTGTTTCATATGCAGGAGTCAGAGCTTCTCTGTTATCTGTTTACTTTGGTTCCATTAATCTGGTTCCATTTTTTGCTTTGTTTCCTTTTTCAGCATGCAGTCATTTTGAGCCTGCAGACTGCTCCTGTAAGTTTAAACTATTTCAAAGAGAATAAATGTTTTGGCTAGATATTATTCGATATTCTTGGTGCTTTTGTTCTAATTGAATTCAGATTTCCACTTCTAACGCATGAACAATAAATTGTATGAAGCATGAAATAAAAAGCAACCACAACAATGTGATTAGAAATCATGCTTGTGAATCTGCATTACTGAGATAATACAATACAAATAGGGAATACAAATGGGACTTTTCCTGGTTAACTAAAGGAATAAATAAAAAAAAACAAAAAAAACCCAGCCATTTCCTGTTGGAAAAGGAGTAGAATATAGATTAACTCTGATTAAATCCTACCTCTATTTAACTCCTCCTTTATGTTTTTTCTAGATTTTTTTGGATCATTATAAACATATTTCTGATTCTTTCTGATTTATTTTGTTTAGCAGTGCTGTCTCTTTTAACTGTTGTTGTTTACTGTTCTCCAGCCCATTGTGGCCGCGCTCCTCAGGTCATCGACAGTAAAGTAGGGGAGATCAGGAGTTCTGCCTACCACAGCTGGTCCTACCACTTTGGATATACCTTTGACTGCTGGGTCATTAAGGGTTCGGAAGATGAACCTATTATTCTCAGGTACAGATGCTGAAAAGTTTAATTTATTTGTGAAGTAAAGATTTCGCCTGATATTGTTGAAACAGCTGCTTTACTTTGGCAGAAAAAAAACATCTGTTTTTATTTTCAATGTTTTTTAGTTATATGTAATATAATTATTCACTGACTTTTATTTTAATTGATTGATTTCAATCAAATCTTTTGTTGTGAACAGAACATGAGGAACAATAACATGATAATAAGGACAATAAGACTATAATTTTTGTGTTATATGTGACAAAATGTTACAATAATTATCCAAGCTCACGTTAAAAATAAATGAATACATACATTAGAACATCACTGAAAATTGCTAATATATCTGTGAATCTAATAAAAGCATAAAGCCAATATATTATTTAGATTCAGGGATGCAGAGTGATGGATCTTACATTTCTATTCCCGTCCTGCTGGAAAATAAATCAGCGTCTCTGTAAAGCTGTGCAGCTGGTGTAAAACACAACTATAAAGTACTGCTCCTATGTTCAAAATAAGAACTGAAATGTATTGTTTATTTATTTTTGGTATTGAACCGGAAATATGTGTCTCTGTGAGTTCGACCAATCCTTCGGAGCTTCACTTTTTCAAACTTAATTATTGAAAAATGTTGAACTTTTGATGTATTAATATATTGAGACATTAGATTGTTTTTGCGGCTTGGATGAGAAAGATTAGATTTTAAAATCTGTTTCAGCTACATGTGATAACATCAATCATGAAGCCATTTTTTTTTTTTGAGTAAATGTTAAAAGAAAATGTATCTCTACTGCAGGTTATGGAGCTGACTGTTAATTGCCGTTTTTCTCTTTCCACATATTTCCTCAGCTTTTCTCAGTTCTCTGTGCGATGCGAAAAAGAATACTTGTCTATAAAATCATCGGTTGGAGGAGAACCGCATGTCCTCTGTGGCAGCAAGCTGCCTCAGCCGCTGGAGTTTCCAGGGGGAAATATAACCCTGATGCACCACTTCTCTCCCCAAGAGTTCCCTGTATCATTATTTATCCTAAGCTACGCCAGAGGTACGGCAGTGGGGCACTCAGGTTTTCGTATCTTAAGGTCACAGTATATATGTTCTAATTATTAATGTATGTTTAACCTTCAGACTCAGGGGACTGCCCAGACACGTCGTTCCGATGCCCCGAAGGTCGGTGCCTCCCGCTCTCCTGGCGCTGTAACGGGCAGGTGGAGTGTCTCGGTGACGGCCTCCACAGCGGCTTAGATGAGGTGGGCTGTGACGATTATGTGGACTACCCAGAAGTTAAACCTGTGAGTTACACGGACAGAATCATAGGCCTGGACTCTGACAACAGCAGGACCAATGACAAAAGCTGGGTCAGATCTACGGAGCGCTACACCTTCCCTGAAACGTGGCCACGGCCCAGGGACCAGCCCACTCAGAAAGAGCTTGCTGTCACACCTACTCCCATTGAGTGGCCCTGCGGAGGCCTTTTTCAGACCTTTTACGGGACCTTTGCTGCTCCGTCATCTGTTTTTGGCACAATGACCTGTATCTGGACCCTGGACCCCGAGGACTCCAGGCCGCTGAGACTCGACCTGCATCGCATTATGCTGGGCCACTTTGACAGAATCACTGTCTACAACCAAGGGGAGGGCAAAGGAGAAGCCATCAAAAATGTGAGTTTACGTCACAGATCCATTTCTAGGAGCTCACGCCTTTTTTCTTTTTAATCTTCTGATACATCTTTTTGCATTTCTACAGATCACCAGTGTTTTCAATGGCAAATCTGTCAAAGTAGAGTCCCACACCGGGCTCATGTCGCTGGTTTTTGACAAAGCTGCCGAATCCATGGTGACCGGTTTTAAAGCCACCTTCCACGTGGGCAACTACTGCCCACCGTCGGAGACTCGGTGCGGGGGATCATCAGGGGGCTGCTTCACCAAGGAGCAACGCTGCGATGGGAAGTGGGACTGCCCTGAGACCGGGAGGGACGAGCTGGGGTGCAGAGGCTGCAGCGAGAACCAGTTTGCATGCGGGCTGATGACACAGGGGGCGGTGGCGTCCAGACGCTACACAGGCACGCCGGTGTGTTACCCAGTGACGGAGCGGTGCAACTACCAGCTGTATTGCACAGACGGTAGCGACGAGAAGGACTGCAGCGTCTGTCAGCCTGGGACCTTCCATTGTGACAGCAATCGGTCAGTTACCATTTATACACTGCTTTAAAAAACAAACATAGTAACGTGTTAAAAGATGTCACTTTCTGCAGGTTCTGGCTTTTTGACATCTCTTTGTTATATTTCTTCTTTTTGCAGATTTTAGTTTGTTAAAATGATCCATCAGAGAATTTTTTGCCATTTTCAAATAGAAACGTTTGTACAGAAATAACCTGTCATTGCAAATTAGGATCTATTTAAAAACTATAAATAACAAGCTACACTTTTTATCTGTTTTCTTATCTCATATTAAGTGAGTTGATTTTTTTTCTTTCTTCACTCATTCAAAAAAATAATATTAAAATAATATTAAATGAATTAAAATGCCATACTTATATTTATGGTTAAAATGTTGGATTGGTACATCTTTTACTTCATTTAATCTAACTATAATTCAGCCTTTAGCAGAATAAGGACTATATGTGAGTCTCAAACTGTGTGAGAGAGACAAACTAAACAACATAATTATTCTGGTTACACATTAAACTATCCTCAGGCTCTTATGTAAGTGTTGAGCACAATTATAATAGAAAGCTTCTCTTAGTAATAGAAGTGACTAAGAACACAGCCTGCTAGTGTCAGTCATCCAACTGTTAGGTGCAGATCGATGGTTCATAGATCAGGGCCGATCAGGCTCAATTTTATTCGGCGGCTCTCTGGAAACAAGGCTTAAAATGGACTGACATGGGTTGATTCAAATTTGAAAACTGAAAATATTTGATTTTTAGGCACTTTTCTTGATTAAAAATTAGTTTCTGTTTCGTCTCCCTTCCTTTTATTTTATAGACGGGCAGCGCTGCAGATTGGCTAGTTTATAAAGCAATCATAAATATGGTTGAAAGCAAAGGTTGCCTTATGACGAAGATTAAAATCAAAACCACCTAATGGCGTCACTTTAAAGAGAAGAAATGTGACGTGAGGATTTATTGACCTGCTTTCAGTTTATAAACTGGGTTGTATCTCTAATGCTGTTGAGCCCCGCCGCGCACATGGAGGGGGAATCTCTCAGCAATGTTTCTGCTGCATACTTTGATAACACTCAGCCCTTTGTCCCCGCTGCAGGTGTGTGTTCGAGAGCTGGCGCTGCGACGGCCAGGTGGACTGTAAAGACGGCACCGACGAGCTCGACTGCACCGTCATGCTTCCTCGCAAGGTCATCACCGCGGCAACGGTGGGCAGCCTCATCTGCGGACTGCTGCTGGTCATCGCCATGGGCTGCACGTGTAAACTGTACTCGCTCAGGACCAGAGAGTACAGGTAGGTTCTTCTCTGTGACCCATAGAGAAATTCTTTCTGACCAGGCTGGGTCTGGGTTTGCTGTGTGGGATGGAAGGGTTGGCAGGTTGATTTCAGGGCTTTAAGGTCTGGATGGGTGTGAAGAAAACAAAACAAAAGTATCAGTAAATATTAGGATTTCTAGACTCCTTTACTTTTTGATTAATGATTATCCTTTCATCCATCCTTTCTCTGTTCTCATTCCTTTATTGTTTCTATTAAGTTTTCCTTTTTTCCTCTTTTCTACTTTATGTCCTTCCCACTGGTCTTGCATATACCCCTCCTGTGTATGCTTGATTCCTGCCTTCTGTCATTCCTTGTATTCCTTATATCCTTCTCTCCTCTCCTCCTTACATCTTTACATAAATGTTTCCCCCCAATGTAACTTTTCTTCTTTTCCTGGCTTTACTTTGTTTCCTCTTGATTCCCTCATTGTTTCCTTCCTTTCTGCCTTGTTTTTTCCTTTCTTTCTTTGTTTTTCTTCCTTTTCTGGCTTCCTTCCCTCCTTTTATCCTTAACTCATATTTAAACCTTCTACACCAACAGGAACGTCCGCACTCCTACCTATTTTTTCATGTGGTTTAATAAAAACTACTTGTTCCCTTTTCAAATGTGACTATTTGAGTCACACTTGAAACATACGCACTCAACGTTTCATAAAGTTCCTTTTCCTCCCCATTGTGACTTTGCAAAAATCACAAGAAAAGAGTAAAACATAATAACTCAGGAACAGCTTTATTGATTAAATCAGATATTTGAATAAATTGAGAGATCTAAAAAAGATTTAGTTGTTTATTGCTCTTTTTAGACATATTTAGTTACTGTGAATTCATTGCATACATGTGAAACTATTCTATGGGAGGTTTTAGTCTTGAAATAAAATTTTCCCCAGATAAAATATCTTTTCTGGCTTAGAAATAAAATCAAATTTAAGAAAAACTGTAAAGAGAACTTTATGTGGTTAGATGAGACCTAAATGAAACTTTTCTGAAGCCATAATACTTGACTGGAGGTTAAAGGGAATGCTTATTATCACCAAAATACCACAAGCACCATGGAAATATGAGAATGAAAGACCTTTAGGTTAGAGTAAGAAAACACTGGTGAGGTGTTTGATAATAATTTATTATCTAACATAAATAAAATATTGTAAGCTTTATTATAAATATTTATGAAAAAAATCTAAGTACTAAATACATCCTGGAAAGCAACGATTTTTTTTTAATTGTGAGGGAACCTTGTGTGATCAATTTTTTTTATTTGACTCAGCTAGCTAATTTGTTTTTACTTAACCTAAAAGATAATTTCTGATGCTTAAAGTTCAGGTTGATCATTTGAATCAGGTGATTCAGGCTTAGCTTTCCAGTAGAGCCGCTGGTTAAACCTCCCAGCTCTATCAGCACACTGCAGTCAAACACTGAAGAAATACGGGAGAAGTGCGTCATGTTCAGGCCTGTCAGACCCACGGGGCTGGATGAGTATGCTTATAAAAATGTAAAGCACTTCTTACTAAATCATCAGAGCTACCAAAATCTTAGCTACGCAAAAGGGGAGCTGCACAAACACGAAATTACATCTCAGAAGGCTACTAAGCAAAGTTAAAGGCACAGTTTTTGTGATTTCTGATTTGTTTACCTCTAAAGCATAAATGAAATAAAGATTTAACATCGCTGCCATCATATGAACTCCTAAAATTCCTGTGGTTTTTCTTGTTGCAGCATGTTTGCTCCGATAAGCCGTATGGAAGCTCAGATGATCCAGCAGCAGGCTCCTCCGTCCTACGGCCAGCTGATCGCCCAGGGCATCATCCCTCCAGTGGAGGACTTCCCCACAGAGAGTCCCAATGAGGTCAGGGAGCAGGACAACACATGTGATATTTGTCTTGTATCAACATTTGTTTTGGACCTGATCAAGCTTCTCAAGCAGTTTCAGTTGATGATTACCTGATGGTATTAAAACCGTCTGACATGGCCTCTATTCAGAATGCTTTCATGACACAAACTATGGGTTTGATCATTTATTTCTTAGTGATGTTTTAATGTCTTTAAAAACTTAAATATCCTCCTTCAGTTCTGTCTTTAACTTCTATAGAGGATCTCAAGACCCCATACTTGTTGATCAGGGGTCACGACCCCAACTTTTGGAACCAATGCTCTATTCAACTTTTATTAAATAGGACCAGGTCACAATAAATACAGACTGAAGGGACTTTAAAAGGTAAAGGTGCTAAGTTCATATACTAAAAAAACACAGTCTACTAAAGTCCAAACCAGTCAAATAAAACCATTAAATAACATTTGTTATTACATACAATCCATTACTGTTTCATAATACAGTTAAAATCAGTTTAATTAACTAGTTCAAGGGAAGTTAGCCGCTAACACTAGCATTGCCAGAGACATCAGTGAACAATACTAAATTGGAGAAAAATAGATAACAGATCTTCAATATCACATCCTGCTCTGCTTCTACCTAGCATTAACTAAAAATATTAAAGAATATATGAATATACTAGTTACATGCACAGTTATACACAGTGCAATACATACGGTTCAATAAATACAGATGTAAAGAGGTAAGTATTTGTAAGACTACATCTACTCATACTCACCACCCATTATGTTGGTAGAAAAGGATATTTAGGTTGCTTACTCTTCTTTGAAGTGGTAACGTCAACATCTATGGTAAATGGTAAATGGCCTGTACTTATATAGCGCCTTTATTCAAGTTAGGAGACTTGACCAAAGCGCTTTACACTACATTCATTCACCCATTCACACACACACTCACACACTGATGGTGGCAAGCTACATTGTAGCCACAGCTGCCCTGGAGCTCACTGACAGAAGCGGGGCTGCCGTACACTGGCGTCACCGGGCCCTCTGACCACCATCAGTAGACGGTGCAGGTGAAGTGTCTTGCCCAAGGACACAACGACACTGAAAGTCGGAGTCGGGGCTTGAACCGTCAACCCTCCGATTTCAGGGCAAACTCCTACATCCAATGCCACTGTCGCCCCTGTATCTATAAATGATACATATGATTTAAGTGAATATGAGTGAAACAGGCTATAGATTAATAGAAACACTTTTCACAAGACTAACAACGGATCTATCATATTGGGTACAATCTATCAATCAGTAAGTTTTCCTAATAGTTTTTTGTGAAATAATAACCAAAATTATCAAGCCTGTTACAAATCTGTCTGTATTCCTTATCTTGTGGCGATACTGGGGAGGAACCAATCCATTTTAACACAAAGCTGAAGAGCTTCTATGACTCACGTTGACTCAGAATTAATAAATCAGCATTTATGTTCTCTAAACCTTAATTACTACTTACTTGATTTAGGTGTGTAAACCAAGGACACCTCTAAAAGTTGCAGGATAGCAGCCCGCAAGAAGTGAAATGTATGTAGATTGTAAACAGGTCCATCTGAAAAACTCACAAAATCATTTCTTATTGAAGAAAAAGAAAAATCATTCATAATATTTGTATTTCCTCAATATCACATTTTCTGACTGTATATATTTATATGCAGTTTTCAAGCATTTATTCCCGTTATGATGATTTTTAGCTAATAGCTAATGGAAAGATTTCAGAATGCAGAAAAAATTATGGTATTGAAATTTTAGCTTAGTTTAAATTATGTTTATAATCTACCTATTTTATTTATTTTTTTACTGCACAGACATAATTATCCTCATTAAGCTGTTAATAAAGCGTAAGTTGATGATATGTGCTTATTTCTGGTGGAGATAAGTGGTTGGAGGAGGTGGGGTCTTCCAGTGGATTAAACCCATAGCAGTGTTCTAACTTGCTCATCAATGTTTGGTGAATAGAGAAAATGGAATTAGGTTCTTTTGTTGCTGTGTTTTTAACCACGGTGCGTGTCTGTTTTCTCCTCTGCCAGGCTGCGTCTCTTTCTTTGAGGGGAATCCTCCAGCTCCTCCGTCAGGACACCTCCAGCTCGCCGCACCGCAGACGCAGGCCGCGTTTCGTCCGCCGGGCCATTCGCCGCATGCGGAGGTGGGGCCTCATCCCCAGAACTTCCAGCCGACAGAATCAGAGCTCCAGCTCCAACCAGCAGGAGGGGAACTCCGCCTCCTCCAACCAGGAAGCGACCCAGTCCTCTCCCGCCAGATCCTCGTCGGCCGTGGAGGCGGTCAACCAGCCGGTGCCTCAGAAACTTGGCCTTTTGGCTCAGGCAGAGCAGCAGCAGATGACGGCGTGGGAGGAAGTTCCCGCCCCTCTCCTGCCGCTGTCCCCGCCGCTCATCCTCTCCACTCCACCCCCTCCGTACGCTCCCCCAGCCCCCACTGCGTCTGCTCCTCAGACTCCTCCTGTCACCGTACCCCCAAGCAGCCCCTCCCTGGCCTCCATCTTCCACACAATAGGCCTGAGTATGTCCCGCTTCAGAGCCTCCCCCTTCTCCTCCTCCACCAACTACATGCCTCTCTCTGCCTCCCCCTCCTTCTCCTCCTCCTCTTCTTCAGATGACGACGTGCTACTAATCCCGCTGTCTGAGGACACCACCTCAGAGGATGATGTTCCCATGCTCACCTGAATGACTTCCTCACACCTCCCCCCTCCCTCACTCTTAACAAATGAAACCCAGTCTTTCCACATCTGACTTTGAGCACAGGAGCGCCCTGACCCCCCCCCTCTCAGTAAGACTCATCCTCCTTGTGCACATCTGGTGCCTTTTTAAATCGTTTGACTTGTCGACACTTTAAATCAATTTTCGGACTCTTTATGAGAACCTCCCTTAAAGATGTAGATGACGGCCATAGATGTTGATTAGTTTTAGACGTGCACTAAGGGAAATAAAGCTCGGCTGCGCAGAGAAGGGAGACTTTTGCACAGAAGGATTCCCCCCCCATCCAGCTACTGAGGCAGGTTACTGTCGGACTGAAATCCTCGCATCTGTGTGGTTGCAGCTGCGTGAATGGGACTGCATTTTAATCGTCGATGGCGGCGCGATTGCCAATATGTGAACTGTCTGCGTACTTCTGCCACTCGCACCCAAATCTGAGGTTAGCTGAAACACATTAGCAGGAAAAAAAAATCTCTCCCCATCTATTTAAAGTGCCTTTTAAGGAGTTTCCTGTAGTTTTAAGTAAATCAAGACGTCCTGAATCCACACTGCACACAGAAACACACGCAGGCTCGTATTTGCTTCACGTGGATGCACGTATCAACACTTTAGTGGCTTCGTTATAGCTTTTAGGAAAAAAAAATAATGCATGCGTACTCTGCAAGCTGGCAATAATCTTTTTCAAATATTGTTTTAGTGCAAAGCTGTTGAAGTGAGTGGGTGAATGTAAGCAACACAAGGTTAATGTTTATGATGACAATCTCTTCGGTGCCTGGTTTAGTTTCCCGTGTGTGTGGTGTGAAGTGCCCCCCCCCCTCCCCCCTGGCTATGAAGAGACCCCCGAAATTCTCCAGATAACCTCAAAATCTTACAGGACCAGATTGCTTTCTGACACAGGAGACTTTTGGTGTGCCATTCACGTTCTTATCGTGCATTTTAAGGTGTTTTTTAATTTCAGAAAACTACAGTTCTTTGTTGTTTTTGTTTTTTTCTCCTTTAAGTTCTTTTCGTGTTTTAATTTACTTTTGCTTCGTTGAATGTATTAGGGTCGATGTGGAGTAGCCAGAAGTTTTAAAATTTGCTATGTATTTAGGTAAATAAATAAAGTGGTTTTATGCCTTTAATAAGGTCAACCTCACTGTATATAAGTAAAAATGTGGCTGAGATTAAACAATTTGCACTTTTAAGTGTTGTGTGGTGTTTGTTTGTTGGGGGTGGCATGGGGGGGCGGGTATTACCTGAAAGAGTTGCTGCATTGTTCTTTGTATTCAGGGATCCTGTGGAAATGAACACAAACAAACTCATAGAGTAGCTCTGTTGAGAAATAGATGTAGTCAGAAGAAACTTCCTGCTTTAAGTTGAGCAATGAAGCCATGTGGAGCAGAGGATGTTGCAATCAAAACCCAGGTAAGGGATCTCTGTCTTTTCTCTTTTAATGCAAGCATTACTGCATCCATCAAACTTCATTTAGCTAATAAAACAATAGATGGAACCTAATTTAAGCAACATTTGATCTCATTTGCAGGAACATTCATATGAGTTCCAGCATTTTACACCAAGGCTTTCACAGGGAAACATTGCTAATGCATAGTTCAAGGCAAAACAAGAGGTGACAGTTTGGACTTTCTAGATTTTTTACTTTGGTTTTAAAGTGTAGGGCCCTCCCATAAAAAATAAACTTCTCATTTTTGCAGAACTGTTGCATTATATATATAGGGTCATATTTCTTTTTTGTTTTACTTTTTTTCCAGTTTTATTTACTTCTGGTTATTCGGTATTGCTTACACAACAGCAGCCAAAAGCAGGTTCCTCAAAAGTACAAAGCATAATGTTTTACATCTTCATGAGTCAATATGAAGCCTTCTACAGCCTCCTTTTTCGGTATTTCTCTATGTCCTGCTTTGAGGATTCCCACAGGATGCTGTTGCCTCCTCTATGTTTCACTTTAGCTCAGTGCTCAAAGTTTATTTACACAAAACTGTCACATCTATGCAGGGTAATCCCAAGTGCTCCTGTTAAAAGGCAAAATTAATAAGATTAATATAAAAATTAGATTCATAAAATCAGGAAATAGCCTATTTAAAAAATAAAATATAAGCCGTTATTAAAAAGTAGGGAATCTGTAACAGGCTAATTTAATTTACAAAGCACAAAATTAGAGATTTTTCTTATTTTATGTATTTAAGGGTCACCATTGGTCTGAGAGTACAGACTTTTCTTTCTTGGGTCCATTTTCAACAGAAATCATCAAACAAACTTACATTATTAAAAAAGACAAAACAAATGAAAAGCTATCTTGTCTCTAGTTAAACATAATTTCCTTATTAATCATAGATTTCTTAAGATTTAATTTAAGAGGATTTTTGTATAAATATAAATGAAACCATTAACTTACGAATGGGGATTTGCTATTTTGGTAAATCTATATAAATTATTCTGTATGTTCTGAAATGTAATTTGTATTTTATTTATAAATCTTTATTTAAAATCCTGCTGAATGTTTATTATTCTTAGCATATAATAAGCTACATCCACATTGTTCTTATAATTAAGCCCAAACTAACTTATCTTTCATTCTTTCCTCTCCTCCAACCCCAGATAATCTGGGTATGGGCTCTGCTGGTGTTAACAGGCTTGCAGATGCCTGCAGCCCAACATGGCTGTATTTTCGATCAAGTTCAGGCTCAGGTCAGAGTAGTTAGAGCCGCTTCCATGCAGGCTGGAGTCAGACCAACAACCGAGCAGAAGCTCCAGCTGACCCCTGAACATCAAACCAGACTGGGGGTCAAAGAGAGGAGCATCCTGGAAGATGGAGTCCATCCTCCTTCCAACCTTTTGCAGCCAATCAGGATAAAAACCTGGACTACTACAGAAAGTTACCCTCTTCCTACAGTTGAGAAAGAGAGGCTGGGGAGAGCTGTGGAAGAGGCTGTGAGGGTAGTGTCTTCTTTACTTTCAGGTAAAAATCTGACAAACACACTTTAACATTCAGCACTTATAAAGATAACTAACTTTTTCCTTCTGTTAGTGAACAGAACCGTAGGGACATTACTGCTGAGCAGAGACATCAATAAATACTGCAAGTTTGTCTGGAGGAACTCAAGCCTGCTGAACTACAACAGGTTTGTATTTGCAGTTTGCTCTTTTTCTCTAACAAAAACCAGCAGCAATTTATATTTTGGAATAAGAAACTGGATCCAGGTGATTTCCTTCTGTAAGCATCTATGGAAGAACGGGTCTTTCTGAGTGAATTCCAGTGCAGTCGGCATAGAGCACCGGTGTTGGACTTTAAAGCATCTGAGATATGTTCTCCAGGATGATGAACCATCCATGAAAGATGCATGGCCCAATACAGAAGAGTGACCTCCTCGGGACAAGACTCTGCGGTGCATCTACACATTATGGACAAAGGACATTCTTTTGAGGACCCGAATGTTCACATTTTGGTAAAAAGAAAAAAGGTGGTTTGGAAGGGGCGTGAAGAAAAACAACCTTAAACAGAGAGAGCGGACTCAGATTTCAGCTTTCAAAAACCTACAACACAGCAACAGAGTTCATCCCTTCCTACTATCATCGCAACCCCAACCCCTTTACATAGGAGCAGAAGACCTCACCTGTTCAGCCAGGCCGACAATTCCTTTTAACGACCCCCCTTTCAGAGATATAGACAAGTATGGCTCATTGCAGGGTAACTAAGAAGCCAACCGATCCCCATTCCAAAGGGGTGGACCCATTCGTCAGTTTCAATTTGCATGTTTTCTAAACAAAAACAAGCCTTTTTGAGCTACTGTATAAAACCTCGAACTCAGCGCTATTTCTTACATTTTTAATTGAAAAAGCTTTCTGGATGGGAAGCAAAACATCTTCAAACTTGGAAACAAAGTCCAGTAGATTGTTTTTTAACTTTTTTGGAACATCCAGGAAAGAGATTTGATAGGCGCCCAGTGGAAAGCCTTTTTAGAGGAGCTAAAGCTGTGTCACAAAGCAGAGTTGGGCAATTCCATTTTTAAGCAGCAAAGGTCCTGCTAGTTTCAGATCGATCGCTTCTCCAACTGACTTGGTGCATAAATCTCCTCCTCAGCCTGTCGTCAAGTTCTGCAGGAGGCTACAGCATGCCCAGAGTGTTTGATTATCCTATGCTGAACCATCTGAAGCGTGCAAAACATGCGGGACACCAGCCCCTAAGGACTGACTTTCTTTTTGATTTAATGAATTTAATTCACTAACCTTTTTCTTTTATCCCAGATGTGGAAAAGCCAACAAAAACTACAGAGGTGAAACCTGTCTGGATGTCACAGTAAGCAGAGTTTTTATTTTTCTAATTCAATAACTCATCTGTTTTTCTCTTAGATATTATCAGACCTGATACTCCAGCTGTTTTTACCTTCACTCTGCACAAACAGATCCCAGATGAGCATCTGTCTGGCTGTGAGGTTTACCCAGAGGCCAATTCTTCACTCAGGACCATTGTCAGACCTGGAGGAGCCGGGCTTCCCGACACAGACTTCCTGGTTTACATCCATGTACAAGCCACTGATAAATGTAGAGCAGAGGTTAAGATCCATGATCCTTCTGATCATATTTATGTTTGATCATTTCACAGACACATGCAAGCATTCTGTACTTTAATTTAGACTATTTGTTTAGCTTCTGGATTGTAATCAACATCTAACAGAATGTTAGATTTTAGGTAGCATGGATTCACTTGCATAGCAATTATATATTTGATTTATTAAATAGAGCTTAAATGCCCTCATACTTAAGTGTCTAAGATGTTATGGCTTACTAATGAAAGTGCAAATTTAATACTCTTTGTTCTCTCAGTCCAGCATCCTCGCCTACGCTGCCCATTGCCAGACGGACACCCAGGGACGACCTGTGGCCGCTGTGGTGGTCCTCTGCAGGGACAGGCTGACTGGAGCCGCTTACAGCCACCAGACTACAGTCCAGGTTTAAATAAAATGATGAATGGTTTGAGCTCTAATCCCATGAAATGATCAGTCTGATGGTTTAGTGATTGTGGTTATGACGTTTGATAATCTGCTCTCCAGACTGTGATCCATGAGATGTTTCATGCTCTTGGGTTCTCTAAGGATCTCTTCAACTCCTGGCAAGACTGTTCATCCTCTAATCAAGGTTTTCAGGCTGTTTCCTTACATCCTTAAAAATTTAGCTCCTTTGATGTTGGAGGGAAAATTATATATAATGTAGTTGTGCTTTTTTTTTCTCCATTGGTCTGATAATTATTACAAAAACTTCGGTTTTGTCTCTTTGGAGTAAAGGTTCCTCCTGTTCTCCTTGGAATAAGGTGATTCACTCAGACAGTATAGGACAGATGAGGATTTACACTCCGACCATCATCTCAGCGCTGCAGAGACACTTGATGTCTGCTGACCCTGAGCTGGGAGGACCGCTGGAGAACCTGGTACTGAGAAGTTCAGACCAGTGTATGTTGACCCATTATGCTCCATGCCTATCTTTAACTTTTACGTTCTCCAGGATGAAGCAAAAGTTTCCTCTCACTGGGAGTCCCGGGTCCTGCAGGGGTCCATCATGGCGGCAGCATTGGGAGACCCATCCACAGTCCGGATCGACCCAGTCACATTAGCGGCGTTACAGGACACAGGATGGTACTCTGTGAACCTGAGCCGGGCCCAGAGTCTGGTCTGGGGAGACGGTAAGAGGAGAGGCTGAGATCCATCGTACAGATCTACAGGTGGATCCAGGTTGAACACAGTTTATGTTTTCAGGTGAAGGAGCCTCATTTGGTTCTCTGTCGACCTGCAAGGACAACTCATCCTTTTTCTGTACTGGAAGGTAGATCTCTGACCTTGGATCTGTCTGAAGCAGGAACACAGTTTATCCATTCTGTTCAAGCATGTTTTTATCATTGCTCTTTAGTGGAGTCGGATGTCACTTCCTTCACCTCCACAAGGGGAAGTGTCAGACGGATCAGTACCTGGAAGGCTGTCGGGTCTATAAACCCCTGGAGAACAGAGTAAGTTCTGACAATAAGCAACGTTTGTAGCTCAGGGTTGTTTTCCTTTCATTATATTTAGATCATTTTCCTTTGAAAATCAGCCAATTATATCAAAGTGTGTGTGCTGGATTGGAACTCTCATGATTTGTTCTGATTTATTTTTCTTTGTGACCCAGAGTGAATGTTGGAAGGAAGAAAACTCCAAAAATTCTGCAGAAAACTGGAGTGGTGAAGTTTTTGGCTTCGACAGCCGCTGCTTCTTCTCTAGCGTCATCAAACAGGTGTGTTGAATTTATTTTTCTATCTATATACAACAGCTTGCAAAAGTACTCACACCTCTGAACTTTCTGTACATTACAAACAAAAACGTGAATATGTTTTAATGGAATTGTATAAGAAAGACCAACAGAAAGTGCTATATAGTTGGGAGGTAGAAACTTTTTTTTCTTACACAAAAAACTGAAGAAGGTGTTTAAAAAAAAAAAAAAAATTTATGTCACCCTGAGGAACCACCTTACTTCAGTTAGAAGTCTCTCAGGGTTGGTTTTTACCAGCTTTCTAATAATTGATATTTCAGCCCATTCTTCTTTATAAAACGTCTCAAGCTCAGTCAGATTGGTTGGAGAGGATTTTTTGAACAGCAGTGTTCAAATCTTGAGACAGATGCTTTTTTTGTTTTTTGTTCTGGACTTTCTAACACATGGATACGTTACGTTTTAACCCATTATGTTTTAGCCCTGCACTTTTTACTTTTTATTTGTAAAAAAAAATTAAATCATGTATAATTTTCTTTCTACTTAACAATTGTATGTCGCTTTGCGTTGGTCTTTCACATAACATTTCAATAAAATACATCAATGTTTGTGGTTGTAATGTGAAAAATGCAGAAAAGCTCAAGGAGTCTAAATATTTTTATAATCCTTTGTCTTAAAACCTTAAAGAAAAATAAGAGATATAAACTGAGTTCTATCAGGTTGTTTATTAAATGTTTAAAACTTGTTTTTTGGTTTAACTTTATGATTACGTCTAAATATTTGTATTCTATGTTTCATTTGATATTTATTTAATCATTAATATTCAAGATGCATTTGTAAAACAGGGGTAAAATAAAAAAACAGTATTGAATGACTTATGGAGAACAAAATGAAAATGCAACAACAAATCTAACACCTGTCCCATAAATTAGGAAAAAAAAACAAAAATTACCAGCTTCTGATTCAGTTGTTTTTATCCCTTTATGCATACTTGGAGGGCAGCTAATGGTATTTTAGAGAGATTTCCTAGATTGTTCCAGATTCACTCACTGTAAACGAGAAAAGAAGATGTATTACTTATCAAAAGCATTTTCTTCTGTCTTTCATGTGGACCAGGGAAGCACTGTTCGGATCAGTAGCTCTGCTGAGGGTCGCTGTTACAAACACAGGTGCTCTGGACTGAACAGGTACCAGATCCAGGTATCTGGTTCTGAGTGGATGGACTGTCCAGCAGGGGGAGCCATTCAGGTAATATGACTGCTGTCATTTTTTTTATTCCTTTAAATCAGAGGTTCTAGAAGTGGGTGAGATGTGATTTTTTTTTACAATCATAGTGATGTGATTTCTGCAGTATATAGAAGGCCGAAATATATCACTCATAAGAGTATGAAAATCCCATTTAATAAACATATGTAGCATGAAATAAGTCAATGTAATATTAATTAATTTATTAATCTAAAACACTTGTAAAACTCACCGCTGAATTATTGAATTTCCAATTAAATAGATGAAAATAGTTTAGAGTGATGGATTAAAGGATTTAATGTTATAAATAATCGTTTTATTTAAAAACTGATATAATGACCTCACTATATATGTATTGAATACATGTAGCTATAAAGTGAAAGGTATAGTGGAGGATTTTTTTTAATGAATTTTTGAGAAGAGCCATCCTCCATTTTTAAAAATAAAAGTACATGCACAACTCTGTACCGAGAGGGAACGCCTATGAAATGCATGCCAGAGCATGCACGAGCCCATTTTAACTCAAGCACATGCTGTTTTAAAGTTGCTGTTTGCATTGCTCCTACAAGCTCACTTTCCAAAAGAAGATTAGCAATTTTTCCACTATATCAGACTCTCCACCTGTAAGTGAAAATAAGGAGGAGCATGCTGGATGGCCTTACATAAACTTATCACCAGAATGATTGACAATTAGGAGGACCGCTTATTTTGATGATCCACCCAGAAAAACAATATCCTCCATTATACCTTTAACTAATTAAGTAAATGTGTAGTTTCAGGTGGTAGCCAGTTTTTCAATAAATTTTTTTCACAATGGAAAAAAAATAAATAAATTACAAAATCAATACAAACATGACAATACATCAATTTAGGCACAAGGTCCACATTTTAAAATACTGAAGAAGAATGAAAGCAGCTCTGCCTATTAGCCTATAGAGTCACATTAAAATACCTAAAACAGAACATGGCAGCAGTGCCATCCACTGCTATCCACTGTACAGCCAAAGCAAATCCATTACACAGATGCACTTTAAAAAAGATCAATGACTTCAAACAGCTATTGTTAAGAACCAAAATAACCTTAGCATTAACTTACCTTAAATAACTATTTTCTTAATGATCAAAACCTGTTGGGGAGAGTTAAGCTGTATTGCAAAGACACTCAGCAAAAACAAGAGTCCAGCAAGCAGAAGGATGTTCTGAAAGGTTCTGATAACTGAACCTTTATGAATTTACACAGACAGTGAGTTAAAAACCTTTATTCAAAGACTTTTAGATGAACCGCAAGTTAAAATCCAAGTAAGTTGGAAAGTGGTCACCATCAAGCAGAACTTGGTCCTGAAGTTTATATCCAGGATGTTGAGATAAAACTGTAGAAGCTGGAGAGATTAAAGCTTTTTCTGGTTAATCTCATGTATATGCTTAAAACAGCTCCTGCAAAAAAGAAAATATTATTTTGTTCTTTAGTTCATTATGGAAAGAAAGACATAAAAAATATATATATATGGAAATCACAAGATGTGCTATCACTGAGATATTTAGCTTTAACTGTATACTGAGCTGGAAACACTTTAGAGTATAATATGATAAATGTAAATCAAGATCTCAATTATATGTGTATTTTTATATTGTCAGATTGAAGGATATCAAGGGGAAGTGTTTTGCCCTGACAGGCGATTGTGTCTTTACCCTGATGTTTCTCCTCCTGTGGAAGATGGAAACTCACCCTCTGTTCGCTCCACATGGCAAGTATGACCTCAGATAGACTGTCTGCTCTACATGGAGAGGCCGCTTCTACTGAACAAACTTGTCTGGTCTTCCTACAGCAACCCTGATGGGATTTTAGCCCATGCCGCCACCTGGTCTCCTCTCAGATCCCCCACACAGGCTTTCATTCTCTTCTTCAGTGCTGCTGCGTGTTTCTTGGTGGTCCTGCTGGTTTGGTACAGGAAGTGTAGGACCTGCATGGTCAGGCGCATCACCGTGGCTCCAGAGGCTCATGTTAACCTGTAGAAAACCTGTCTTTGAGAAAAGGAACTGTATTTGTTTGTGTGTTAGCCTATTGCTAAAATATGTATGTTTCCCATTTCACAGCCATTGACTGAAAGCCATGTGAAGAGACTGTGATCCTGATTTAATAAACACTGATCAGATTTGTACTCTTACACAACTTCAACCATGGTAGCTTTCTTCAATTACACCTTTGGAGGGTTTCATAACCTCTTATCTAAGGTGGCATTCTTTTTAATTTGTTAGAGTTCAATTGACCAATAACGTATCATAAAAAGGCAAAAAATGTGGCTTTTTAACAACATGGCGGCTACTGGTTTGCAATCTTCTTAATCACAACGGTGGATACGGGTCATACAATTCTACAGATTTAGATTTTAGTTGTCTATTCTAGAAGGTAAAGTCATCTAATTAGCCCCTAAATTTGACAATTACTCTTGAGGCCTTTTTCCAGCACACTAAAGCAAAGTTTTGCAAGGTGGAAAAGTTTAATTACTTGGACTACAGTACCCTACCTGAGCCATACACACCACGACATGGTCTGTTAGTTTTTCAGATGATTGGATAGGTTTCCAGAACTTCCTTCAGAGTAAAAAGAAGTTGTCTCTTGGGTTTATATCTCTTTAAAAGCAGAGGCTGCAATCCTAGTGTCCAATGTTTAGATTTAGAATTAGACCACTTTATTAATTCCACCAGGGGCAGTTCATTTGAGCAGCACAGAAGATAAACAAAACATGTAGTATAGTATACAAAAAAGTGACAAGGTGCTTGGTAATAAACAATAATAATAATAAAAACACAAAAATATTACAAGATAGCACAATAAAAAAACAGCTATGCTATGGGGAGTTTAGAAGTCAAATGCCTGTTATAATAAAATATTTTTTCTTATCAGTTTGTTTTACAGTGATCCAGGCTCCATAGGCCTCTATTAAAAGTTTCTATAAAGATCTCCAGACAAAAGAAGCTATAAGAGAATACAGTTAATAAAATTACATCTTGAAAAAGTTTAAAGACTAAAAATAATACGCCAAAAAATAAAAGATCTGAGCTAAAGAAGATGTAAGATGCATATTACTTTGCATAATTTCTAACAGCTTAGTTAAGCTTTTAAAAATTAGAAATATGAGCAAACCTCTTAGTATACCTGGGACCCAAGAAGCCTGAGATTTAATAACCTTTCAGATAAGAAATACAACTTAATGCTCAACATTTTTAAACAATTTATTTATGTAAACTTTTAAGTAATTTAACATGTTATTTAGATAAATGTATTGTAAGTAAACTGTTAAAGATGAAATGTACCCCTAGAAAACATATATTTTCTTTACATATCAGTCTATTTAGCATTGAATTGAACATTTCTGATGTTTGGATCTAGATAAAACTCTCCTATATAATTCTAGTTTATTTTTCCTGCCATCATTTCCTCCACACAGGGATGTAGGTCTGTCTCGGAGCCACACCGCTGCGACACATCTCATATGGCGAACTGGTCTTAATGCACTCAGTCTTTAGCTTCAGGCAAACAAAACAGAACGTGGTCTGGCAGCGAGGACACGTCACGTTTTTGCAGTACTTCTGGTCGTGTTCCACCTTGGCGCCGCACACAGGACAGGCTCGGACTGAGGGGCAGCTGCTCACACCCACCACATCAGGGAGGCTGATGAATTTGCAGGTTTGCAGGAGCTGGAGGTCCCTGTTGATGCAGTCAGCATTGTCGCAGCGATCGGATCGAGGCCCCGGACCTTTCCAGTCTCTTAAGCATTGCCAACAGAACTGGTAGATCTCCTTCTGGTCAGCTGTACAGACCACACACTGGACACACAGGTTGGATGGATCCTCCCTCTCCACGCTGGTTTTACACTTTGGACACTGATGAGAACATAGAGTATTTGGCTAATTTAGAAAAGGAAAACTGTTCTATAAAGAGCTGCAGATTACTGGACTCACCGACTGAACCTCACAGTACTCTGAAACAGACAGGTTGGCCATCTCCTGCTCAAAATACAGCATCTCATCAACATTGAGATCAGCCAGTCTGCGCACTTCCTGGTACGACCACAGTTTATTGCACTGTTTGGTGCCCTCCACCACTGCAGGACATCGGAACTTATTTTGCCCCTTAAGCATAAAAGAAACAAAACAGACCAGAGGTACATGTAGTCAGCTCTTTGCTTCTTAATCCTGAATTAGCTTGAACTTAATTGTGACTAATTAGTATACAATGTATCTCTAGCCACTAAAGGAAACAACAACAAATGTTTTTTTTCTTTTTGTTTTTTTACCTATTATGTTTTTTTTCCCCAGAAATTCACAATTCTATGAAATAAATGGGATAGAAATCTATTTTATTTATCAAATATAAGAGACAAAAACTCTGCATTAAATATATATTAAATGAGGAGTTTCTTTGTGCCAAACTGACAAAAAAAAGAAACCAAAAAAATCCATGCTGTGAGTTCATATGCCAACTTAAAAAGAACCAGTTATCTTAAAGTCAAGCACCTAGCTTTCATTCCCTCACTCCATCTCTGATGAAAGAGACCATATTTTCTTTTTAAAGTAAGCATGAACTGTCTGGAACTTACTTGCTTCAGCAAGTTTTTACACCAAATTGTTAGGGAATCAGGGGTGACTGCATGGCCGCAGGACATTTCAGCTCTGAGAGAGGAAGAATCGGAGGCTGACGAGACAAAATCACGCATCAGATATTCATGCAAATGAAATAAGAGTTTAAATGAGGCTGTTCCACATACCATTCATGACCACAGCTTAGCTAATACCCCGTTACCTCACCCAGGTTAAAATATCACTGAGTTATACACTTCATTTAACCCAAATTATCCTCACATTTTACTTCTGTAGTTTGACTGTATAGTAAAATAGATTGTAGTGAAAATGAAAAATAAAATAAAAAACATCTAGACTAATATATTAAAGTCAGAAATCTTACACAACACAAATATACGGTCATGTGTTTTACTGGCTGTACTACTTACTATCATGGTTCACTGGTCTCTCTTTAGAAAAGTAATTATAATAGCTCAGTTTTTAACTGAACTATTATAATTACCGTAGTATAACTGAATATCCCAGGTAATAAAATAATAAAAAAAAAGCTTTGTGTGATTATTTTGGCCTCTAGCATTTTCTTCTGTTGATTTTTGGGGCCCTTATCAGCTGATTATTTTACCTAAATGCCTTGGGCCAGTTTTCCATGACACATTGCATTATGTTCAAGTCACAGAAAAGGAAATGAATCTTACACCCTGGAACAACTTCGTCTTCCCTGTTAACAAACTTCAGCGTTTGGTCAAGTGGGTCATATTGCTTCGCTGGTGAATCCTGTTCCTGAATGTTCATGGTGATTCTGAAAAAAAAAAAAAAAAGTAGAATACTACAATTATATAAATAGAGATTTTATACCAAACAGAATTGTTTGTATTTTAATTGGTTTGTTGAAAATGATATATGTTGCCAAAGCTTTTAAAGAAATTCTGATAGTTATCTCTCAGTAGTCATAGTGTTATGAGTGATTTGGTGTGGGGTAGGCATGAGAGAAAAGGTCCCACATTGCATGACCCTGAAAATTGGAAAAACCCATTAAAAGCAGCCCAAAGGTAAAAATAAAAGAGAATTTTCTCACTATTGTTGTCTCTGGATGTGTTTTCATATGCAACACCATGCTTTCCATGCATATGATAAAAACAAACCACTAAATCATACATATAATGTAATTAGAATCATAGATAAAGATAATTCTGCATCAATTATACTGCATTAATTATACATAATATTGAAATATCTCAAATTTATATTTTTAATGGCATTTTAAAGAGAAGTAAAGTTATTAAATAATTAAGTCAAGGTGCGCAGTTTTACATTCACAGCTCTTTATGAGTGTAAAACATGTTTAAAAATGCCCTATAACCCCACAATGAGCTAAGGACATTCCTGGTATATATGTTATAAACACATAAAGTTACGACACATGCAGCACTGATATGATTGTTTATGTAGCAATAACAAAGGCTTCCTGAGAGGCCTTTAAAAGTGATTATTTATTTATTTATTTATTTATGATAAATTCCTTTTAAAATAAACTAAAACTATTTTTGGTAGTCATTTGAACCTGGGTACTTTCTATTTGGGACAGTTTGATTTAAAGGATTAAAGAAGCATGCAAATAAAAACAGTTTTATAGCCAGAGTATTTACATTTTATTGAATTACAAAACCTGACTGACTGTAATCAAACGTAAACTGATGATGAGAAACAATAAAACTGCATCGCTCAGGGAAGTCCCTGCTAGTACAGCCTGAGTTATGGGAACAGTTTCTTAGATAAATAAAACTCTTGTTTTAGTTTGGTTAAAACATGTTAATAACTATAATAATAATAAACACCCACAATAAGTTATAAATAAGCCTGTTGCTTATAAGCAAACATCAAATAGTACTTTAGTTCAGAGCTGAGCAGCTGTAATATTATACCAGTGTTATAAAAAAGGTGATTCTCTTTTGTAAAACTTCTGGCTACTCTAATAACCAACTTAAAATACCTCAATAAATAATAATAAAACTCATAAAAGAAGAAATACTAGCATATTTTTTCAGTCTGTTGAGCCTCTTGGGTCATTTGGAGAATATAAATGGAACTTTTTAATGTAAATTTAACTGGAAATATTTAACTCTGTTCAACAATACTTTATGTAAACATTAAATGTGATGGGTTTGGGGGGGAGTGTTTCTTTTCTTATTTTTTTAGTATTGCTATTCATGTCTGTCCTTTGAAATACTAGAATTTGCTCATAAGGTTACATATTGTCTAACTATACATAATCTTTGGGTGGATCAGTCCAGTTGCTATTTTACCCAATTTCTTTGAAAAAAAAAAAAAACGTTTACTTTACTAAGTTGGTGGATGGCAAATCCTTCTGCACTGTAATGTTTAGGTATATCCCTCCCAAATGAACAAAAACTGTCCTTTTCTTACCGTGTCGTCCTGTTTGTAGTCCAAACAACTTCCCCTCTTTGGTGAAACCCGGAAGTAAAATATCGCCTCAGAAAAGCGTAGTTCTAGAGAGACATTTCATCCAGATTTAAAGCTTTTTTCTCTCTAATGTTCAAGCAGCTGGTTCTATTTGTGTCAGGCTCTTCTTTACCGTCCGGACTGATACCGAAAGTGAAAGATTATCAGTGTTATAATGAGCTGTAAGGCTGTCTGCTCGGTAAGTTCCTCTCATTTATCCCTCCCATCACTTTAAACGGTTACCGACGGTTATCGAAGCTGCTATCTGAGCAATAAGGAGCAGTCTATGCGGTTATTTGGTGATAAACTTTTTGTATCATTGCTCTGCTCTTTATATGGTTGTATACAGTAAATCTGTGCAGTAACCCCCCCCGCAAAAAAAAAAAAAAAAAAAAAACCCACTACATGCTATTTATACTTTTCCAATCTGTGCTAACATTCAAAGCGTAAAGATTTAAGCCAGAAACACTTCCCATATTTCATTGGTTATAGTATATAGTGGTATAATCGTAGTTTATGACGCTGCCCGGACGCATGTTATCATTTTTGGCGGGATGGTGTTTATTGCTGTTATGGATCGACTGATGGGTGTTTTTAAGACCGAGATTTATAAACCAGGGAACTAAAAAAGTGAAAAAAAGAAAAAAAACAACAACAATCCACTGGACAAAGCGACCCCCATTCCTCAGGGGCGGACCCGCTCGCCACGTTCAGTTTGACTGTTTCTATGGCAAAACAAGTTGCTTTTCTTTGATCCACTCTATAAAGCCTTGAACTCAGCTGTTTCTGACATTTTGAATAGAAAAAAACCACCTGGATGACTTATGTGTTTTGGTCAAGCATAACTTTATGATCTCATACTTGAAAATGTCCTATTTAGCAGACTTTTATTTTATTTTATTTATTTTACTTTGTTGTTGTTTCTTAAAGTTAACTGAACAATCATTGATAACCACTGCCACTTTAAAATAGGGTAGACAAACTTACTAGAGAAGGACGAAAGAACTTATAGGTAGTTAACCAGCTGTTATTGGGGAAAACCCAGCCCCACCTTATTATGGAACTAATGCCTAGTTACCTTGGAAACAAAGAGTAACTAATCAGGAACTAATGCCTAGTTACCTTGGAAACAAAGAGTAACTAATCAGGAACTAGTGAGTAGTTACCTGGGAAACAAAGAGTTGCTAATCAGGAACTAATGACTAGTTACCTGGGAAACAAATAGTCACTAATCAGGAACTAATGCCTAGTTACCTGGGAAACAAATAGTCACTAATCAGGAACTAATGACTAGTTACTTGGGAAACAAAGAGTTGCTAACCAGGAACTGATGCCTAGTTACTTGGGAAACAAATAGTTACTAATCAGGAACTAATGACTAGTTACCTGGGAAACAAAGAGTAACTAATCAGGAACTGATGCCTATTAACCTGGGAAACAAAGAGTAACTAATAAGGAACTAATGCCTAGTTACCTCGGAAACAAAGAGTAACTAATCAGGAACTAATGCCTAGTTACCTGGGAAACAAAGAGTCACTAATCAGGAACTAATGACTAGTTACCTGGGAAACAAAGAGTAACTAATCAGGAACTGATGCCTATTAACCTGGGAAACAAAGAGTAACTAATAAGGAACTAATGCCTAGTTACCTCGGAAACAAAGAGTAACTAATCAGGAACTGATGCCTATTAACCTGGGAAACAAAGAGTAACTAATAAGGAACTAATGCCTAGTTACCTGGGAAACAAAGAGTCACTAATCAGGAACTGATGCCTAGTTACCTGGGAAGCAAAGAGTCACTAATCAGGAACTAATGACTAGTTACGTGGGAAAAAAAGAGTCACTAATCAGGAACTAATGCCTAGTTACCTGGGAAACAAAGAGTCACTAATCAGGAACTAATGACTAGTTACCTGGGAAACAAATAGTAACTAATCAGGAACTGATGCCTATTTACCTGGGAAACAAAGAGTAACTAATCAGGAACTCATGCCTAGTTACCTGGGAAACAAAGAGTCACTAATCAGGAACTGATGCCTAGTTACCTGGGAAGCAAAGAGTCACTAATCAGGAACTAATGACTAGTTACCTGGGAAACAAAGAGTCACTAATCAGGAACTAATGCCTAGTTACCTGGGAAACAAAGAGTCACTAATCAGGAACTGATGCCTAGTTACCTGGGAAGCAAAGAGTCACTAATCAGGAACTGATGCCTATTTACCTGGGAAACAAAGAGTAACTAATCAGGAACTCATGCCTAGTTACCTGGGAAACAAAGAGTCACTAATCAGGAACTGATGCCTAGTTACCTGGGAAGCAAAGAGTCACTAATCAGGAACTAATGACTAGTTACCTGGGAAACAAAGAGTCACTAATCAGGAACTAATGCCTAGTTACCTGGGAAACAAAGAGTCACTAATCAGGAACTGATGCCTAGTTACCTGGGAAGCAAAGAGTCACTAATCAGGAACTGATGCCTATTTACCTGGGAAACAAATAGTAACTAATCAGGAACTAATGCCTAGTTACCTGGGAAGCAAAGAGTCACTAATCAGGAACTGATGCCTATTTACCTGGGAAACAAATAGTAACTAATCAGGAACTAATGCCTAGTTACCTGGGAAGCAAAGAGTCACTAATCAGGAACTGATGCCTATTTACCTGGGAAACAAATAGTAACTAATCAGGAACTAATGCCTAGTTACCTGGGAAACAAAGAGTCACTAATCAGGAACTGATGCCTAGTTACCTCGGAAGCAAAGAGTCACTAATCAGGAACTAATGACTAGTTACGTGGGAAACAGAGTCACTAATCAGGAACTAATGCCTAGTTACCTGGGAAACAAAGAGTAACTAATCAGGAACTAATGACTAGTTACCTGGGAAACAAAGAGTTACTAATCAGGAACTAATGACTAGTTACCTGGGAAACAAAGAGTCACTAATCAGGAACTAATGCCTAGTTACCTGGGAAACAAAGAGTCACTAATCAGGAACTAATGCCTAGTTACCTGGGAAACAAAGAGTCACTAATCAGGAACTAATGACTAGTTACCTGGGAAACAAAGAGTAACTAATCAGGAACTGATGCCTATTAACCTGGGAAACAAAGAGTCACTAATCAGGAACTAATGACTAGTTACCTGGGAAACAAAGAGTCACTAATCAGGAACTAATGACTAGTTACCTGGGAAACAAAGAGTCACTAATCAGGAACTAATGACTAGTTACCTGGGGAACAAAGAGTCACTAATCAGGAACTAATGCCTAGTTACCTGGGAAACAAAGAGTCACTAATCAGGAACTAATGCCTAGTTACCTGGGAAACAAAGAGTCACTAATCAGGAACTGATGCCTAGTTACCTGGGAAACAAAGAGTCACTAATCAGGAACTAATGCCTAGTTACCTGGGAAACAAAGAGTAACTAATCAGGAACTAATGACTAGTTACCTGGGAAACAAAGAGTCACTAATCAGGAACTGATGCCTAGTTACCTGGGAAACAAAGAGTCACTAATCAGGAACTGATGCCTAGTTACCTGGGAAACAAAGAGTCACTAATCAGGAACTAATGCCTAGTTACCTGGGAAACAAATAGTAACTAATCAGGAACTAATGACTAGTTACCTGGGAAACAAAGAGTCACTAATCAGGAACTAATGCCTAGTTACCTGGGAAACAAAGAGTAACTAATCAGGAACTAATGACTAGTTACCTGGGAAACAAAGAGTAACTAATCAGGAACTGATGCCTAGTTACCTGGGAAACAAAGAGCAGCTAATCAGGAACTAGTGACTAGTTACCTGGGAAACAAAGAGTAACTAATCAGGAACTGATGCCTATTAACCTGGGAAACAAAGAGTAGCTAATCAGGAACTAGTGAGTAGTTAACTGGGAAACAAAGAGCAGCTAACGAGGAACTAATGCCTAGTTACCCTAGAGAAAATAAGATCCAAAAATCAGGAGCTAGTGAATAATTAACTGGGAAACAAAGAGTAGTTAACTAGTGAATAGTTACACTGGATGCAACAAGTGGTTAATCGACCCTAATGGATGGTCACAAATAATGAGATTAACCTTTCTTGTTTTAGATCAGTTAGGATCACCAGTTGTACTGTTTGCTAAAAGTCAGAATAATTTGATTTCTTTTTCATTTTCTGCTTTATAATAGAATAGGATATGGATATCAAAGTCAATGTGGAGCTACCTCTTTTTATTTTGTTTTTCTTGACTATTGAAGTGGTTTTCTATTAAATAAAATCTGTTTTGCATTTTTATCTTCACAGGATGAATGAAAAAAAAGAAATTCAAATGCAAATATGTCGAAACCTGGATTTGAAATACCGAAATATGACTCACTACACTGTAAAAAAGCTTGTAAACAAGCTGGAGAAGTTGATGATCTCAGGTAGGTGATGTAGAGAAATTAATACCATCCAGCCTGTGTGTGAAAAAGGGATTTTTGTCTTATTTCTCTTTTTTTAATTTAGATTACCATGGCCTGAGAAGTACTGGCTTGACCTGCTTTTTGAACAGCGTGCTGCAAGTGCTTTTCATGACTGTGGACTTTCGGGAAGCTGTGAAAAGGTGTGGATGTCATTTTTTTATTGAAATTGAAATGATCTTGAGTCAGGAAGATCTGATCATACACTGTAAAAAAAAACGGCCTCATTTTACGGTAAAAAACTGGCAGCTGAGTTGCCAGAAGTTTACCGTCTTTATACGGTAAAATTCTGGCAACCAAAACTGCCAGTTTTTTACCGTATTTCTAAAATACGGTAAAATTCTGGCAACCAAAGCTGCCAGTTTTTTACCGTATTTCTAAAATACGGTAAAATTCTGGCAACCACAGCTGCCAGTTTTTTACCGTATTTGCTAAATGCAGGATTTTACCGTATTTTTAATATACGGTAAAATTCTGGCAACCACAGCTGCCAGTTTTTTACCGTATTTGCTAAATGCAGGATTTTACCGTATTTTTAAAATACGGTAAAATTCTGGCAACCACAGCTGCCAGTTTTTTACCGTATTTGCTAAATGCAGGATTTTACCGTATTTTTAAAATACGGTAAAATTCTGGCAACCACAGCTGCCAGTTTTGTACCGTATTTGCTAAATGCAGGATTTTACCGTATTTTTAATATACGGTAAAATTCTGGCAACCACAGCTGCCAGTTTTTTACCGTATTTGCTAAATGCAGGATTTTACCGTATTTTTAAAATACGGTAAAATTCTGGCAACCACAGCTGCCAGTTTATTACCATATTTTGTAAATGCAGGATTCTACCGTATTTTTAAAATACGGTAAAATACCGTACTTCCTAAAATCTTTTAAAAAAAATA